TTTCGGCACCCTGCCCCCCCCCCCCATCAAGTGCTTAGTGGATCCTGCGGCTTGCTGTGAAAAGTGATATTTGTATCTTTGTTAATATCACAGAACACGCAGTAGCTACCTGGGAGGCCATGAAAAGTGATAAGTGACATTAACAAACATATCCGTATCACTTCTCACGGATAGTTAGTAAGTCTGCTGGGAAAAGTGATACTTGCATGTTTGTTAATATCACTTTTCTCAGCAAGCCCCAGGACCCATTATATCCTGGATGGGGGGGGGGGCGCGAAGTGGGAGGCAGCAGGGGCCAGAGGCTCTGGTGGGATGGATCTGGGGCAATGGGGAGGATGGATGTGAGGCTGAGTGAGGCAGCAGGGGCCTGGGGCAATGGGGGGGGACGGATGTGAGGCTGGGGGAGGCAGCAGGGGCCCAGGGCAATGGGGGGACGGATGTGAGGCTGGGGGAGGCAGCAGGGGCCCAGGGCAATGGGGGGACGGATGTGGATGCGAGGCCAAGAAGGCAGCAGGGTCCTGGGGGTGTGGGGGAATGGATACAGGGCCATGGGAGGTAGCAGAGGCCAGGGGCGATGGGGGTGGGTGATGAGCCCCACTGTTGCATGGCCAGAGCCAGGGTCTGGTATCTGCTGCTATGTGGCCAGGGATGGGGCTCAGTGCCTGCGGCCGGAACCCGGAGCTGGGGACCAGGGATCGGAGCCTGCTGCCGGACAGCCAGAGCTCAGAGCTCGGTGCATAGGGATCAGCACCAGGATCTAGGGCCGTGTGGCTAGAGCCTGGGTCCAGTGCCCATCACTGTATGGCTGTAGCTGGGGGCCAGAGGCTGACTGAAGCTCCACGGCCAAAGCCGGGCGTCAGCACCTGCTGCCCTGTGGCCAGAGCCAGGGGTTGGCACCCAAAGCCCTGTGCTTGGAGCCTGCTGCCGTGCAGCTGGGGCTGGGGATCAGCGCTTGTAGACAGCGCCTGCCACTGCATGGCTGTAGCCCGGGACCGGAGCTGGGAGCCAGCGCCTGCTGCCACGTAGCTGGAACCAGGGGCCAGAGGACAGGGCCATGTGTCCAGAGCCAGTGGGGGTGGGAGGGGTAGAGAGGGATGGCAGTACCTGGTGCCCCATGATCAGAGCCCGGGGCCACAGGGCCAGGTTCCTGAAGTCCCGCCACTGGAGCCTGCTTCCCAAACCTCCTCCCCCCGACCCCACAATGTGGATCAAAAACTCACCTTACTCCTGCAGCATTGTGCCCCACCTCTCTCCAGAGGCAGTGCTTTGCCCCCCACCCCCATCACCACCCAGGAGGTGGTCGTGGCCACACAAAAAGCCCCTGTTGGCTGCATGCAGCTATCGTGGCCACATTTGAGAAACGTTGCACTACACTAGACTAACACTACGGGCAATATGCATTTTAAAGAGGGGAAGGCTTGCAGATGCAAAGATTGTAGCTCCAACAACCACCGTCACTGGCGGTAGGAAGGATCTTCTGGGCAGGGGAGGTCAGGGGCAGTACGACCCTTTATACATACATGTAGAGGCACAAGGCACTAGAGAGGGCTCACACTGCTCCTATCAGTACTCATGAGGGAAAAATCTCCAACAACCATGCATGAGGTGCATACACATCTACATGAACATAAAATCACTTGAAGAACTTTCCTGTTCCAGCATAGGGGAGTCGGGGTGAACTCAGGGGCAAGAGGGAGACAGGCCATAGCAGACAGCACTATGAACTTAAGAAAATAAGAATGGCCATACTGGGTCAAACCAAAGGTCCATCCAGCTCAGTATCCTGTCTGCCGACAGTGGCCAATGCCAGGTGCCCCAGAGGGAGTGAAGCTAACAGGTAATGATCAAGTGATCTCTCTCCTGCCATCCATCTCCACCCTCTGACAAACAGAGGCTAGGGACACCATTCCTTACCCATCCTGGCTAATAGCCATTAATGGACTTAACCTCCATGAATTTATCTAGTTTTCTTTTAAACCCTGTTATAGTCCTAGCTTTCACAACCTCCTCAGGCAAGGAGTTCCACACGTTGACTGTGCACTGTGTGAAGAAGAACTTCCTTTTATTTGTTTTAAAGCTGCTGCCCATTAATTTCATTTTGTGGCCCCTAGTTCTAATATTATGGGAACAAGTAAATAACTTTTCCTTATTCACTTTCTCCACACCACTCATGATTTTATATACTTCTATCATATCCCCCCTTAGTCGCCTCTTTTCCAAGCTGAAAAGTTCTAGCCTCTTTAATCTCTCCTCATATGGGACTCATTCCAAACCCCTAATCATTTTAGTTGCCCTTCTCTGAACCTTTTCTAATGCCACATCTGTACATAGTATTCAAGATGTGGGCGTACAATGGATTTATATAAGGGTGAGAAGATATTCTGTCTTATTCTCCATCCCTTTTTCAATGATTCCTAACATCCTTTGCTTTTTTGACTGCCGCTGCACACTGCATGGATGTCTTCAGAGAACTATCCACGATGACTCCAAGATCTCTTTCCTGATTAGTTGTGGCTAAATTAGCCCCCAGCATATTGTATGTATAGTTGGGGTTATTTTTTCCAATGTGCATTACTTTACATTTATCCACATTAAATTTCATTTGCCATTTTGTTGCCCAATCACTTAGTTTTGTGAGATCTTTTTTGAAGTTCTTCACAATCTGCTGTGGTCTTAACTATCTTGAGCAGTGAGGAGATTCCTAAACTTAATTTCACCCTACTGTTACTCACACCTTCTTGTCAACTGTCTGTAATGGGCCACTCTCTTACCACTTCTCTTACCACTTCCTCCCTTGGTATCCTGCTGTTAATTGATTTATCTCGTTAGACTGAACTCACACTTGGAAAAGCAACCCCCATCCTTTAATGTATTTATACCTGCTCCTGTATTTTTCACTTCATGCAATCGGATGAAGTGTGAAGTGGGTTCTAGCCCACGAAAGCTTATGCCCAAATAAACCTGTTAGTCTCTAAGGTGCCACCAGACTCCTTGTTGTTTTTACAAGGACTCCTTGTTGTTACTTTCACTCTATGCATCCGAAGAAGTGAGGTTTTTACTCACGAAAGCTTATGCCCAAATAAATCTGTTAGTCTTTAAGGTGCCACCAGACTCCTTGTTGTTTTTACAAGGACTCCTTGTTTTTGTATTGGCTCAGGTTCTGATTCAGCAAGGTACTTAATCACATGCTTAACATTAAGCATGTGAACAGTTATGTTGACTTCAATGGGACTGTTCACATACTTAGTCACATTTTAAAGCAAATTGGGGCCTTAGAGAGAGATTCTGGATTGGAGAATTGTATAGCCCTGTAACTAAAGATGCAATGTAAAAGCCGTTGTGCTATACTAGGCATCTCCAAGCCTTCTCGCATTGGGAAAGATGTTAGACAGCATAGGAGAACTGCACAGTCATGAAACAAAGGAATAGCTTCACTCTTGTATCAGAGCGTTGGACCCCCATAATCCCATTCTGAAATGGTAAATCCAAATTAATCGCACCTATCACAGTATTTATTTATAGAGAAATGAGGCTGTGACATAGAGACTATTTGGTAAAAAGCCCCTGTTATTTGCAAACAATTTTCACCTGGGAGCTGACTAACTCAATGCAACAAGCACATGCTTTACAGGATATTTATTCATAAAGAGTAACATGTAAGGTATCTACAGAAAGCTCTCAATTTGCCAAGATTCTTAACCATTGTGAGATATATGTATGGGTAATATTTAATGTATTTATATTGAAAATGTGCTTTATGGCCTTGGAGTAGAAATTAGTCACCAGGAGATAATGTGCCTCAGAGATGACTCATTCAAGCAAGAGGGAACTGTCACCTATCTCTAAATCAGCCAGTGAGGTAATGCAAGGTTCTATTATCTACCCTTGCCACATCTCAGAACGGTCAATGGGAAACCATCAAAGACAATTGCAAATGATCTCAACCACTTGGCAGTAAAAAGGGACATTATAGCTGGCAGGAGATCACCCAGGCTATGAATAGAGACAAAGGGTAGGTAGATGCAGTCTTGATCCATTCACTGAGGAAACCCCTAAAGGAGTGTGGGGCTTTCATTAACATTTCGATCCTGGTTCTTGTGAAACCAGCCAGCTCTGCAACAGACTGAACTTGGGGGGTGGAGGGAAAATCTACTTTATTACATAGGAAAGGTAACTACTGGTAAATGTAGACCCAGATTCATGTTTTGTGATTTTGTTTTGTATTGCAACCTGTTGTTTCCACTACTCTCTCTTGTTTCTACTTAAATATTTATTCTTTCTTAACAAAATATTTCTTTCTTTTATCATAAGTGCTGCACGGTTTACAGGAGTGGGGGTTTAAAGTAAAACTGGCAAATGGGGCTACCCTGCACTTTTGGAGGCAAAGGATCTGGAATTTATGAGAGTAGCCAGCGTCAGGGGCTGGGTATCACAGGAGAACGATTCAAAGAGATTTAGAAATGGGCATGTACCTATTGTTAACCTGCAAGACAAAGTTAGTGATGGCATAGCCCAGAGGAGAGCACTTGAGAGGCTGAAAGGCTAGTGGTGTTAGGAAGCTGATATCTAGCTATCACAAGAAAGACTTCCTCACGCTGGCGGCAGAGGGAAACAAGGTGACTCACAGTCCTGAGTGCTCAAGAACCATTACAACCGCTAACTGGCAACAGACACTTACTGGGAATAAAAAAGATAATTTTAAAGAATGAAAAGAAAGCCTTGCATCAGTTATTAATTTAAGTAGAAGCTCTTAAATAGTGAAAATTAATAAAATAATTGACAACATTCATAAGATGTATCAGAGGTAGAAAATGTATCACAGAAGGACGATACTATGGTAAGCACCCACAAGACAGAGAGGTATTTACCTATCTCCCCAGGACCCAAGCTAGAACAATAACATTTATATTGTACATCAATTAAAACATAGTTAATTGAGCATTGTGCGGAGGAAGGGGAAAAGAAGAGTAGAAGAATCTGTTTCATAGAGTATAAATTACCTGCAAACAGAACATTGTCTCTGTGGCTGGAGAGCTGTGAACATTACAATCACAGAGTAGTTACGAGGTGGGGCCTTCACAAATCTTCTGAATTTGTCTCCATTCATGCGGATGACTGAGCGCCTTGAGCTCCATTCCATAAGCTGTTCCACCTTTTCCGCTAACAGATTCTGTAATCAAATACAAGGAGGAGGCATGTTAAATACAAGCACCATGGGGCTAAATTCTGCCCTTGTTTGAACATACCCAATAGAAGAATTTAACCCTTATTCTATCTACTTTTAACAGCAATTGAGTTAAAGATTTTTTACAAATATAACTGAATTTGGTTTGAAAAAAATTAAACTGATTAAAGCAGACTTGTAAGTTACTACTTCAGGAAAACATTTTATTTCAAATTCTGGTGAGTACAGCACTATTGTACAGGTATCTGTGTCTAGAGGAAGAGACACTGGTATGGCCTTCTTAGCATACAACACATGTCATCAATTTCCATTGCAAGTAAGATTGTTTCACACATCTGCACAAAGAAAAAAATCAGAATATAGCATTATGTTACGTTTGTTATGTAACCGTCAAGTCATAGCAGCACAATCACGGCCATTCAGATCTCAAATTAAAAGAAAAATGGAGCTGGAAGAGCCAGAAAAGCAGTTATATCTTTTTTATAACACAATAATTAGTTTAAATAAAAGCAGAAACAAAAAGACAGGCTTTCCTTACAAGTGTCTACCATATTGCCACTGCATTTCAGTTATACTTACTAATAAGCATTGGTATTTTATTGTAGACAGGATTGGTACAGTGGTAGTAATTGGTCTTAAAAATTTACCCTAATTGTGAGCTCAATTGTAAAAAGTATGTGAAAGTTCATGAGATGTCACAATAACCTATAATAACAAATGTTGATGGGAAAAGGTACAAAAAGGAGACAGAGAAGCTGAATTAACCAAACCAAAAGGCCTAATGAACTCATTTAAGGACTGTGTTAAGATCATACTTGCAGGGCCAGCGCAACCCATTAGGCGACCTAAGCGGTTGCCTAGGGCACTACAGTTTGGGGGGCGGCGACCGCGGCGGTATTTCGGCGGCGGGACCTTCCGCTGCCTAGGGCAGCGGAAAAGCTGGCAGCGCTCCTGCATACTTGGCAAACAACAAAAGTGTGGAACCAGAAATCAGTGAACCAGAATTAGTCTGTCAGAAACTAGGCCTAATTGGTGGACAAAGTAATAAAGAGACGAGTTATTTCACCCACCATTCCTTTGTGAGTCCTTAAAAAAATACTGTGGGGAGAAAAACTGGCTATTGGAGCAAGTTTTGCCATCATAGCTGCCATCCTCACGAACTCCTGAGACCCCAGGCCTTCATCATCTTGATCCTGAGAGATGCCCCATCCAGAACAGGCCAGAAAGGCACCCAGATGACATCACCACCTCCACTGGCTCCAGATGAATCCCAAACATCACCTGGGATGAAATGGGATTGGACTTTATCAACAACGGCTCCAGGCCATTGAAACTAACTTCTTCTCTTTTCCACCAGAAGGACAGTTATTGAGTTATTGCCATCTTTAATGCCACCTAAGAAACTGTCAAACAAAGGATTTGTCCTATTAAAAACTCTCTCCAGCTAAAGGGAAAGGGAACAAGAAATACTGTTAAAATGAAAGCCTTATTTAATACTTTACATTTCAAATGCTTTAATTGTTTGTCCTTCTTTTCTTTATCTTTAATAAAAGGTTTCAATGATTTTAATGGTGTTTGCCGTGGTACTAAGGAGGATGAGGTTTCTGTAAACTAAACCCTGAACCTTGCTTAACACTATTTAATGTTGGACAGTGAGTAACTGGGTTATGTCATCTTTGGGACCCTATGTTCCATCTAAATTAATACGACAGTATCATAGTCTATTATTAAGTTTGCCCAACATTTCCTACAAGACCCCGGTTTCAGTTGCTTATAACTCTGCTAAACTTTACCATTCAGGCTGACCTCGGGCTGACGTCTTGGAAAATTTAGCCAGAACAGTTCAGCCACTTCTGAGAATGAGGCTATGAACAAAACACATTTTTCCCCCACTTTGAAAAATTCTGGTGATCTCTTTTGAGAAGCTCTAGCATCTCCATGCTTTGGAGAAGGGATGTGAAATTTGGCAGACAGTGACATTTATGTCAAGAATGTGCATTTTCCCAATAATTCACCTAAATTTAGCAAGTTATAAGCCTCTTTAAAATTGCAGTTTGCACATGCTCATTAGATTTATTAAAGATTTGCAGCTGTATTCCCTGAAGAATCAGTTGGCATTGAGCTTGCTCCAGAACCTGACTGAGCACGATTTTCCCTGCAATTGCAGAGCTGCTGCAGAGTGGGCTGAGGCTGGGTATCAGAACTGAGTGAAGGCAGTCTCTCTCTCTTGTGTTCTCAATTTGCCCATGCTGGCAGCATGGAGTAAAGGAGGATGTTTGTAGGACCCCTGCCTCGTTTGTGGAATAAGTTGGAAGATGTGTAGTGAATGAGACAGGCAACACACTTCTCAGTGCAGCAAGAGAAAAGATGGTCTAATGATTAAGGAAGCTGAATGCTTTTCTGGGGAATTTGATTCTATCCCTGCCTCTGGCCACAGAGTTGCTGTGTGATGCTGGACAAATCACTTAACTCAAACTTTTCAGAGATGATCACTAATTTTGTGTTCCTAATTTTCTGGGCACCTGACTTGAAGCCTTAGTGTCTGATTTGAAGAAGTACTGAACCCTGCAATTGAAGTCAATTGTTACTGTGCTTTGAACATGTAAAAGGTTACATAATGCTAAATACTCTGAAAAATCAGGTCCTAGGTGTCTCAAATTAGGCAACCAAAATTAGTGGATACTTTTAAACAATCTCTCTGTGCCTCAGCTCCCCACTGTAAAATTGAGATAATACCACCTCCTCATCTCACAGTGGTGTTGAAGAAAAATGAATATTGTGAAGCACTCAGTTGCTACGCAGATGAGCACCACAGAAAAGCCCATGAAGTATTTAATAATTCTGTCTCCAGAGCAGGGTTTGAATAGCGTGTAGTAAATAATGCCTTGGTCGATACACTGAACAAAGAGAAAACTAAATATTGAGTAGTTGCTCATTAATTGAGCATCATCCATCCTGTAAACTGATGGATAGAGGCCTGCACAGATACACATTTATATTCGCAGATGCAGATATTGCCGGATATAAATCGGTATCCGTGGAACCGCAGGCCTCTCCCAGGACCCACAGCGGCAAAAGGAGCAGAACATGGGGCCACTACTCCCAGGAGCCAGCACCCCGCGCCAGCAGTTTCTCTGGCACAGCTGTACCACTCATAGCCCTGCCCTCATCCCTTCCATGCAGCTGTCTGCGTCTCCTGTTTGGGGGCAGTACGGCCATGCCAGAAGAGCTGCTGGCGCGGGGCACTGGCTACTGGGAGCAGCAGCCCCAAGTTCTGCTCTTTTCACCGCTCCAGATCCTGGAAAGCCCTGCAGTTTTGTGGATACTGATTTATATCCATGGATATAAATTTATATCCGCGCAGGGCTCTACTGATGGAGGCAGTGGTCCTTATGTAAAAAAAATATGATGTGATCTTGTAATTAAAGACTATATAATAATGCATGTGCATTCACAAGGTGGGTGAATGAAGACTACATACGCAACTTTAATTCTGGAATTTCCTAACTTTTAAATGCTTGACTTTGTATCTTTAATGCCCTTTTTAATGTAGTTTTGTGTTTGTAATATGCATGTATTTTCATTGAGCACATGTAGCAATTAACAGTCATTACAAATAAGCATCCCTTCAAAAGACATACAACAGCAGTCAAATAATACTGCCCAGAGATTGTTTATTAAGCAGTGCTCTTAGTGACCCCTACAATCAGCGCCCACCTATTCTTCAACTCCATGTCTGCAGTTTGCCATGGCATCCATGCTATTCTGCATAATAGTGTTCCAGAATTTGAACTTTTATTTAAAAAAAGCATTGCTAGCAGTTGTGAAAATAAATGTTTTCCAGACTGAGGCCTTGGCTACACTTGGGAATTCACAGCGCTGCTACGGCAGCGCTGTGAAGTGTGAGTGTAGTTGCGCCGCCGTACTCTCCGAGGGGAGTAGCTTGCAGCGCTGCGAGCGAGCGTGCAGCGCTGCAGGCACTGATTACACTGGCGCTTTACACACCCCTTAGCGCAGCAAGTTGCAGCGCTGTACAGCGCCAGAGTAGCCAAGGCCTGAGTGTGAATTGATGCAGTGTCACTTGCCTAGGGCTATGTCTACTCTTCAAATGCTGTAGTTAATCCACCTTCCCAGGAGGCAGTAGCTAGCTTGACAGAAGAATTCTTCCATCTACCTAGTGCTCTCTGTACTGGGGGTTAGGTCAACATAGTTATGTCTCTAAGGGATGAGAATGTCCCTGGAGAGATGTAGCTATGCTGATGTAAATTTCCAGTGTAGAGCAGCCCTAAGTCTGCAAAGAGCTCAAAGCAATAGCTCAGATGTGAATATCCAACTGAGCCCACTCAAGCCCACATAAGAGTCAGATTCCATGACCACAGTATCTGGCAGTTTTTTAAGATGTCATGAAATTCTGTATTTCTGCCAGCATCCAGTGTTTTGTTTTCTTTCTCCCCGTCCCATTGGGACCTGCCTGCAGCTGCCTCATGCTCTCTAGTTTTCTTCACAGGGAAGTTAATTGGATTACAGTGTGCACTGCCTGCACTGTTCCATAGAGCTGAGCTCACTTCTGCAGAATTTACAGAATGTGCCCTTGACAGTTTAAAGGAGCTCAGTCCCTATCTTTTTCAGCCAACATAATTCAGTGCAGAGGGCACAAGACTGAAGTCGGAAGACATGGATTCTATTCCGGACTCTGCCACTGACCTGACCTGCTATGTGACCTTGGGTAAGTCTTAGTTTCCCCATCCCTAAAATGGAGAAGATGCTGGCTTTCCTAAAGCCCATTGCCAACTCTGTCCACATATCTTTTCAAGGGACACCATCATAGGACCTAATCACATCAGACACGCTATCAGAGGCTTGTTCACCTGCACATCTACCAATGTGATATATGCCATCATGTGCCAGCAATGCCCCTCTGCCGTGTACATTTGCCAAACCAGACAGTCTCTACCCAAAAGAATAGATGGACACAAATCAGACAT